GGGGCAGCAGGGAGTAGAGGGGCAGCAGGGGTGTAGCACTCCTATCTCCATGCCTGGCACATGCAGTTCCGGGCGCCGGCAGGTAGTTGTTTTATACATTTAGCCCAGCTTTGAGCAAGGGCTAAATGTCGACGAGATCACTTGTATGCAGCCTGCAGGTTTGCCATTCTACATGTGGGGGGGGGAGTTGGCGGGTAGGGGGGCGCAATGAGGAACCTGGCCTTGGGGCAGCAGAGAGAGTAAATCCGGACCTGCCTGTGCCGTCAGAATATTCATTAATGTTGCAGAAGAGGTATGCGCACATTATGCAAATACAACCTGCCTAGGAACGCCCACACAGGCTGACATCCACCCATTGAGGCATTTTTCTATTTGCATAACTCCTCCCCGGAGCCTGCCCACTGCTTGCATCAGGGCACAGAGCTCTGGAGAGGAGTACTGAGACGGGGTGCTGTGATATTTTCAGGAAGCTATGTATAGCACCCTGCTAGCCCCTCCCACCAGCCATCATCTGCCTGCATAGCTACCAAAATCTGCCTGCTGTGTTCAATTTCCATTGGCTGTGCCAGGCTTTGTTCTTGGTAATGCCCCATGGTTTACAACAAGCCTAATTATAATACCCCCATTTTTTTTATATCTTTATATTTAATATAAATTATGTATTCCCGTCCTCCAGATTCTTTTAGGCAATTGTGCTTCAACGAGGTATATTTAATTGTAACTATATCTTGTAGTATATTAGCACGGGGCAGATTATAATTTGGTATAATGTTATAGGGAGGATTGACTGCAGACATCCTTACCAGGTATCAGGCAGGACATTCTAATGCAGGGGAGAGCAACCTTGGCCCTCCAGCTGTGGTGAAACTCCAAATCCCATCATGCTTCTGCCTCTGGGAGTCATGCCTGTGGCTGTCAGTCTTGAAATGCCTCATGGGACTTCTGCAACAGCTGGAGTGCCACGGTTGCCTACCCCTGACCTAGAGACGTATGATTCTCCCTGACCCCATGTGTCTGAGTGACAACCAGTGGCGTAACAATAACCATAGCGACCCAGGACACCCCCCTGATGCCGTGCGGGCCGCCTGGGTCGCTATTGGTTCTAACGCACCGCTGTTCAGATCACCGTGATCTGTGCAGCGCTGCGTTCTTCTCCATTGCCGCTGCTGATTTAATGAGAGTCAGCAGCGGCGGTGGAGGAGGCTGGACGTGGCGGGGAGGAGGAGGCGGGGCCCGGGGGGTCAGCATCAGAGAAGGAGGCGGGGCCGGTGACACATGCTTCTGCCACTGGGAGTCATGCCTGTGGCTGTCAGAGTCTTGCAGTGCCTCATGGGACTTGTAGTTTTGCAGCAGCTGGAGTGCCCAGGTCGCCTACCCCTGCTCTAATGGAACAGCCGAGGATCCCCTCTAGGAGACTGAAGGAGAAAGGAAAAAGAATGCGGTTGCTTTTGCAGACTTGCTTGCTTTGCCCGGGAATGTTAAAGGAAATGATTTATATGGAAAACGCTCTCACTATTGAAATAAAGTTCTGAGGGAGAAAATGGCGCGGAATCCCCCAGCAGACTTCGCGCCGTTTATCCGCAGGGCATAATATGGGATAAAGGCGCAGCGTCTTGATCCGACAGACAGACTCCCTGGGGTGTAATCGGCTCTGCTCGTTGGTTCTGCCGACCGTCATATAAAAATAACTTGTGCCCAGAGGAAGCGACAACAGTCCTTAACCCCTTCACAACCATAGGGACCCGGCCATGGTGAGCCATTCCGAACTCCAATCCTCCTCTGCAGCAGATATCATGTCACTGAATGCTGGATACATGACTGGCACAGGGGGGCTCCCAAAGCAGCAATTTGGAGATTCAATTTAAAGCTGAACTCGGGGTACAAAAACTTTCATTTAAATCTATTCTGTGGATGTAAATCCACTTTGTGATCACCCAATGCCAATCACCCAATCATGCCAATCACCCAATGCAAATCCAGATCTGTGCAGAGAGCACAGCTGTGGGAGGGGCCCAGAAGGCCACACCCACTACAGGAATGGGCAGAGACCAGACCAGTCACCCTGCACAAGGAGAGAGAGCAGCAGTGGCTAGTCTTTATTAAAGGAGGGGGCGGAGACCAGACCAGTCACCCTGTACAAGGAGAGAGAACAGCAGTGAGCGGTCTTTATTACAGGAAGGGGAGGAGGCAAGACCAGCCACCCTGTACAAGGAGAGAGAACAGCAGTGAGCGGTCTTTATTACAGGAAGGGGAGGAGGCAAGACCAGTCATCCTGCACAAGGAGAGAGAATAGCAGTGAGCGGTCTTTATTACTGGAAGGGGAGGAGACAAGACCAGTCACACTGCACAAGGAGGGAGAGCAGCAGTGACCGGTCTTTATTACAGGAGGAGGTGGAGACAAGACAATTTTAATAATTCGTTGATGACTCTACAATGTAACTTCCAAGTATGACCCCCTTCTCTCACTATATTTCAGGAAGGAATTCTCAGAACTGCTGGAGAAATGCAGCTCTCACAGTGACAATGGGTCGTCTCGGAGTTCTCCCATAATGCACGGCAGTAAGTATGAAACTGCACTTGCTGTTTTCGAGTGTCTTTGAAGCACTAAGGGACTCATTTATAAGTGCCTTTTACAGCCCATTCATAAAATGCATACCGCAGTGGGGAGCTCAACGCAGCATAGAGAACTCTTCTTTAATGCCGGTCACATGACTTTGGCCTTCCACATGACCGGGCTTTCTCTTCATTAATTAAAATTAAATTAAAATGACTACGCCCAGACCAGTGAATGGATTCTGATTGGTTGCTTTGATTCACCCATTTGCTTGCCTTTCAGGTCGCTATCTGGAAAGCACGTCGTCCGAGTCCTCGTCTCGCTCCCAGAGTCCTTTGCTGCAAAGTCCCAGCAGCTGCCACAGCCAGTTTGGAGGCCCCAGCAGCCTCTCACCGTACTCCATGTCCAGGTACACCAAGGGGCAACCATATGGCGAATGCCAATCAGAACTCTCCTACTTATTATTATCAGAGACGCTCGCCGCATAATCTCCAATCATCTCCATCGTACAGAGGCGGCAAAAATCCATCAAAATCTATTTCACTGCTTCTCCAAAAAAATAAAGTTTTTACTTTTTTTTTTATGTTTTTCTGGTTGAATATTTTGGTTATTATTTATGCCAACATGAACTCGATATAACGCACAATTTACAACGCTTAGGATAAAGATCTTTAAAATTATTATATAAACAACAACAATAATAATAATAATACATAATACATTTTTTATATATTTTAATGTCATCCACAGGCATGACTCCCTGACGAAGAGGCATGATGGGACTGATAGTTTCTATAGCCAAAATGAAATAACCCGGCTATAGAAGCTACTTGAAATCTCATGTCTTGCAGTATGCTGCCCCCCAGTGTGTCTCTCTGCAGATCCTTTATTACCACTCAGATGATATACGCTGTGTGTGGTAGGGGTTGTTACTCTATAGTGTTTGTATGACGGGTATATAGAAGTGGGCGGAGCATAATTAGTATATATTGTGAAATGACATTTTAATGTCTATACCAGCTACATCTAAATACATTAAAGTGTATGCAAACCACCAACAATGACCTTCTCTTATTTTCTCCCTTCTGGTCTGTTATATATTCCATTGGACTATTTATATCTGTTCAATAACTGAGAAACATATACCTGTTGATCCTGCCAGAAGTCCAGTGAGCTGATGACTTCCTATGCTCTCTGCCTGTGCTGGCTGTTATCAAAGTCGAATGTGATGTCTGCGAAATATCAAGTTATGGCCACTGGATGGCGCTGAGGAGCATATGAAAGATGTATTTCCTTTCCTACACTCCTCAGCTCCATCTAGTGGCCATGACGCAGTATTATCCAGATATTACATTCGACTTTAAAAGAAAATATACTACTAACATCCGTTTTTGCCTCCAATGAATGTTCACGGAGTTTCGCAGGACGAATAGGTTTTCAAATTGTTTGTAAATGTTTAGGTGTGTATAGGTGCAAGTGTATACCCCTTTGTGTGAGCTTTTTTTTAAATGTATTACTGTTCCCTTATTATAAATTGATGAGCTGCTAGTCACCTTTTCTGTTTACAACCTTTGGCACGGTGATATCTGCAGGTTGTGAAAAGCTACTACAGAACCCTCCAGAAGTAACTCCTTGGTAATCGCTGGATCTTAGTTGATTGTCTTATTTTATCTTTTGTACAGCGACTCCGGAATCCAACACATCTCCATCCTCCGCTCTACCGGCCTGGGTCTGGTGATCAGCGGCGGCTCCAATCGCCAGGAGGGGCCCATGGTCTACATACATGAGTTGCTGCCGGATGGAGACAGCTATAGGGTAAGAAAGTTAGCCGAGTGATTAAATGTTTCATGCGGGACCCCCCAATCAGCAATCCTAACTCCTGAAAAGCCAAACACCAGATAAAAACAGATTATATATATATATACTATATTGCCAAAAGTATTGGGACACCTTTACACGCACATGAACTTTAAAGGCATCCCAGTCTTAGTCCGTAGGGTTGAATATTGGGTTGGCTCCGCCCTTTGCCACTATAGCAGCTTCAACGCACTGTTGTTGTGCCAATCTGAAGGCCACACCAAGTTTGGAGGTTTGTAGCTATTGAGTCTGCAGACAGTTGGCGACTTCTGCGCACTGTGCGCTTCATGCGATGACCCCGCTCTGTCATTTTTCGTGGCTGAGTTGCTGTTGTTCCCAGTCGCTTCCACTTTGTTATAATACCAGTAACAGGTGACCAGGGAAAACTTAGTAGCCAGGAAATGTCACGGAACACCTGAAGCCAATGATTTGGAGGGGCGTCCCAATACTTTTGGTAATATAGTGTATACATTGAGGATTTTTAAAACATTAACACAGATTGTTGAAGATAATTTACATTAAGATCTCTTTCCAATGTAAAAAAGTTTTTAAAAGACTATAGTTCCCCTTTAAGGGCCCCCATCATCTTTTTCAGGACGGACGGCTTCGGCCAGGTGACCATCTGGTCTCCATCAATAAAGACTCGCTGATCGGAGTCACCAACGAGGAAGCCAAGAGGATACTGAACAGGTCCAGGCTCAGGTGGGTTCGAACCCAGATTGTCGGAGAGTACTCAGCCCAGACTAGGCCAGTTTTATTTTTGGACAGTCCAGGGAAGAGTTGGAGCCGCTGTCGGTATCTCTGTTGGCGAGATTTCCTGTCACTTCTTCTCGGGGCAGAAAGTGATAAAAAATCTGTCCATTGGGGACAAATTTGAGGGAGGAAGGAGGTTACAACTGCTGACAATCTATTTTATTGATGCCCATGCTTCCCTGCCTCGCCCTCAGTGACAATTGCTGCCCTCATTATAGTAGAGGTGTCACAGGGACAGGAAGTGAGGGAAAATTTCCCCAATAAGGTACTTCAGGTGAATTGCTATATTTTTGCTCTACTGAACTATGTGCCTGCCTGTGTATCTCTTGTGCAGGGGCGTCCCTAGGCCGGTGTGTCACCCGGAGCCGAGACCGGGTGACACCCCGCCGTGACGTCATCGCACATGTGTGTGACGTCACAAAGCGTGTGCGCGATGACATCATCGTGCATGCGCGGCCATCTAATTAAAGCCTGCTGGCGCCCATCTTAGTGATGGATGCCGGCAGAGAGAGGAGGGGACGTTCACCTGGCGGGATGAGGTATGACATGCTAGGTGGCCTATGTTCAATAAATCCACATGTGAATTTCAGGTGTGTAAGCCTTAATTTCTTTATCCTTAAAGTGTATCTAAGTGGGTGTGGCCACTGCATCATCTCCCCGCCCAGCTGGACAGGACACCAGCCACAGCGTCCCGCTCAGCTCCTGGCAACTTGTGACATCACTGGTTGCCAGGAGCTGGGTGGGACACTGGCCAGAGCATCCCAGGTTGCTAAGAGAAGTGTCCCGCCCCTATGTGACCCAAAGAGATGCCGCCTGAGGCAACAGACTCAGGCTGCCTCATCATAAGGACAGCCCTAGACAGAGCTCACGTTTGCTTGGTTAGCAATAGCTGGTCACATTCAACTGGACTTGTTCTGTAATGTTGAAGACATTTTGAACCTTCTGCAAGCCACTTCTCCAGTTCCAATGAACAGAAGGTGTTACTCCTTCTATTCATGTGGATTTTGGACAACAATTCACATCTTCGCCATCTGACTAGAAGTATTAACACATATGCAGAGCGGCACCAAGGATAAGATTTTGTAGCTAGAACTGGGTGGTTCCATAATTTTCACACCTCCCATCCTGTTTTTGGACACTCAACATCTACCTTGACCCATTCCATGGTGGTGGTCTGTGCTACCTGTGTGGATAGAAATGTTGGGGTATGTTCCGGGGGTATGTTCTTCAGAAGTGGCTTAGATAAGCTACGAAACGTCTTCAACAATACAGAAAAAGTCCAGTTGAATGGGACCAACTACTGCTATACCATGACTTGGGTAAATGAGAACCTTCGCAGACATCTAGTTGTTTGGTTTGTGGAGTGCAATGAAGATTTGGGGGGGGGGAAGGAGGATATGGGTGACAGCCCCAGCCAATAGACTTTTCTCCATGTGACGCTCACACTTTTTGTAGATTGCCCATTGGCGGCAGCGCACCATACATAAGCAAATTATTGGGTCAGAGGACGTCAGCGCCTTTTAAGCATTACAATGTCCTTCTGTTATATTCTTCAGGAGTTTCTTTTGTCTTCTAAGACAGGACAGCTGCACCGAGGTGTCCTTCGTCCCAAGCGCATTGCGAATGCTGGGAGGCAGTACTTCTTCGTCGCTGCAGCACAGGATGCTGGGAAACGGGCTGCCCTCCTGCAGGCTGAAAGTCCACGTCCGATCTCCAGAGGTGAGCATAGCTCCTAACTCATGGAGGGACTGTTCCTTCTTCTGGAACTTAATTCCTCTATCCCTCTTTCTTCCTCCGTTGTCCTTCTTTTTGGTTTAAAGAAATAGAATTCTAGAGAAATATACAAATTTAACTACTCACATTTTTATTTTGAACTAAACTTTTTATCCAACCCTCTAAAATATTGCATTTGTTACTTTGTCACCCCCCCCCTATGCTAAAAGATGTCCCTCATTCTCATCTCGAGAAGTTGGGAGGTATGGGTGAGAGATTCTGATCAATAAGACAAAGAGCATTTTGCAGACTAGGCTATAGTGACCAATAGAAATGGGTCTGTGCCCCTGGGTTTGGCATCCCAGGGGTGTCAGGGAAACACAATGGGTATGGGACCCACAATGCGGCACCTGGCACTTGGTCACATCACTATATTGCTTTTCTTGCACATGCCTCTTAGGTAGGCTTTCTGGCTAGTCTGAAGGAGTTTTTATACACCGGCCACAAGGCCTGCCGTGTCCTGCACATGGCACCTTATTTATTTATAGCACTTATGTTTTGCATGAGCACTTTTCACTCCACAGACTATGGACCCTCCATAATCTGTGGAGTGATAAGTGCTCATGCAAAACATGCAGGTCTTTCTGGGTCCTGCCCCAATGTCGGCGGGGGGGGGGGATGGGATCTGTTGCCTTCACAGGTCTTTTTCCTTCCCCCACTCAGGGTTCTCTCTTCAGGAGATCCTCTACCTAGTACTTAGCGGACAGACTTCGGCAAGTCCCCAAGCATCTGGGTCAACACGGATTAACCCCTAGGTGGACTAGAGTGCCTTTTCCCTGTCAGGAGCCTTGCACCTTGGGGGGGCTCAGAGATATTGAGGCCATCTTTTTTGGAAGATGACGAAGAACCCTTGTGCACTTTTTTGTGTGCAGTGATTACACTGTTCACAGGGGTTTTTGTTGCAATGCAAGCCCCATGGAGCTTTAAAAACAAACAAGCCTGTTTTCTAAGTAACTGCTTAACGCTGCTGCTTGGAAAATAAAGTTTACTGGGGCCTTTTATCTGTTCACTTTATGGGATGTTGGTGTCAGCTGCACATAGAGCCCTATTTAATAGCACGCCAATGGTATTGGAATATGTCATTATGTATAATTGTTTGCATTTGTAAAAGTATGATAGTTTGTTTTTTTTCTGAGCAACCCTCCTTCATTGCTTTTCAGTGCCGACATGAAAACAATGTGCCTTCCCCGTCTCCTGATATCTGTCCTCCTGAACTGACCATTTCTGGTGAGTCTTATAGAGGGTGGTGTGTTTTTATATTTATATTTGTAAATGTTTCCTCTATGCCGAACATACTGAGAAATGAATTTAGGGTTTTACATACACTTCCTGGCCAAATAAAAAGTCACACCCTCTAATACTTCGCTGGACCGCCTTTAGCTTTGATTACGGCACACATTCGCCGTGCCATCATTTCGATAAACGTATGCAATGTGACAACATTTATTTCCATCCAGAGTTGCATTCATTTTTCCCCAAGATCTTGTAGTGATGATGGGAGATGATGGGAGATTCAGACCTCTGTAAAGTCTTCTCCAGCACATCCCAAAGATTCTCCATGGGGTTAAGGTCTGGACTCTGTGTTGGCCAATCCATGTGTGACAATGATGTCTCATGCTCCCTGAACCACAATCACAATCTGAGCCCGGTGAATCCTGGCATTGTCCTCTTGGAATATGCCCAATGTGCCATCAGGGAAGAAAAAATCCATTGATGGAAAAACCTGATCATTCAGTATATTCAGGTCGGCAGCTGACCTCATTTTTTGGGGACATAACATTGCTGAACCTAGACCTGACCAACTGAAGCCCCCCCAGATCATAACACTTATCCAATGGAAGGCTCTGACCTATCTGCTTAGCTAAATCCAGTAGGTGACTTTTTTTTGGCCAGGCAGTATATTTGTATGGGTTCAGTTTTGGATTTGGTGTTGTTTTTTTGCCCCATTCCACATATTGTGTGAGAATTTCTGATGTTGATAAAGACTGAGAGGAGTTTTTGTCATTTAATTCTGCATTGCAGTTCCGGTATCCTCGCCGATCCACAGGACATCATCCCTCAAGCAGAAAGTCATGTTGGATCCCCACGTCCGGATCAAAGAGGAGAAACTGGAACTGGTAAGAGCTGTAAAGATATTCTGAGCCCTGTACCATTCACTGGGCATACAAATGATGGCTTTTCTGTGACCTCAGACCAACCGATCATTATTCTGTCCTTCCAGCTCTTGCAGTTTCTGGGGTTGGAGGTGTCGGAGGAGAAGAGGAGAGAGATCCATCAGGGCCTGATTACTGACTGCCAGGGCACAATAGCCTATGGAGGTATCTGATTGTGTTCTAAATTATGACAGCTGTATGCAAATAACATAACAAGTTAGATCCTTCTAAATGCCCACATCTGACTGGTTCTCTTTACTCAAAATTGTATTCAAAGTAATAAAACAATGTCGCTTTATCAGCCAGTTGTTTAGCTGAGTCTCTTCTGCTCAGACTTGCTGCAGGTCCTGCGTGACTATCTACAGGATGAGTTGGAGGAGGCGAACCTAGATGCCAATTGCCTGCTCTTCACCCATTGTGAAGTGGCCAACTTACTCGACACCTCTGCGTTCCACTCCCTTGTCACCAAGGTACGGTGCTGCCTGCCATTTCCTGACTCATATTATGGGTGGATCTTCAGCTTTTTGTTGGTATAATACTATTTGTGTAAGGAGTCCACTTCACATGAGGATTGCTACGTGACCGGGCCTGAGGTGTGCCATGGCCCGGGTGGTCAGTAATGCCAATAAGGGGGGCATACTCTGATGGTGTGAAGAGTGAACTGAGATGAACTCCTGACTGTAATGGCCCAAGGGACGGGTGGGAGGGTTGCTCCGAGAAGCTCCCGTCCGGCACAGACTGATCAGCGGTGCTTTTGAGAGGTAACGAGGCGCAGACTCCACCCACAAATTCAGGCTAACACATTAGCCTTCCAACATGTCATAGATGGGGGAATAATACTATATCTCATGGGTAGGCAATCTCGGCACTCCAACGGAACTACAAGTCCCGTTAAGCATTGCAAGACTCTGATAGCCACAGGCATGACTTCCAGAGGCAGAGCCATGAAGGCATTTGTAGTTTCATTTCAGTTGGAGTGCTGAGGTTGCCTACCCATGCTATATGTCATCTACTATTGCCATTGGAGTGAAATGGTGTACAAGACACATTTTAATTTTTCACATTAAATTTGTATTTCTATAGAGTTCTTCTTCCTAGCGATTCAAAGCTCTTAGGTGAGGCAGCCATCCTGCTCCCTTGAGCCAATTAACCTACCATCAGGTCTCTTGGAGTGTGGGAGTAAACCTCCACAAGCACAGGGAGAACATGCAAGAAGGGAGGAAGTCACAGACCAGGAGATATGTCCTTCCTTTCTATGTCAGAAATGAGGTTTTGTAATCCTAGAAGCTCAATGTTTAAACTCCTGTCATGGGGGCTGCCATTGCTGACCTCTCTATCTAACAGATGGTAGTTGCCTGGCTGTAATGCTCAGCCTCTTTCTTCCATATTTTACATCATTGACCTGGCACAGGTATGCAGATAAGGGCTTCTGACTGAACTCTAACTTGTAGTTATGCAAATACTTGCTGTGGTTTAGTAGAGAAGGTAATGAAGCCATCAGATTATCATGACAGGGGGACAGCTAGTCTGGAATGGTAGCCCTTGTATTTCTGCAATGACAACTACACTTTGCTCAATCAGAACTTAAAAGGCAGCAGTATGGGAGCAGTCGGTATAGGTATGGGTAAACTTAAATTTTCAGTGTTCTCTCCAATACCTGGTCCAATACCTGGTCCATTGCTGGAGTCCAAGTGAAAAAAAAAGCAATTCAACTATAAGTGCCAGGCACGAGGCCTAAGAGCCATACACATCCTTCCTCTCAGATCTTAGCAACCTGGGACACCTGGCCGGGGTCCTACACAGCACCTTGCAACCAGTGATGTCACTGGTTCGCAGGAGCTGAGCAGGACGCTCTGGCCAATGCCTGCCTAGCTCCTGGCAACCAGAAACTTTAGAGCTGGGCAGGATGCTGGCCAGGGCCAGAGCTGGGTGGGGAGATGATGTAGAGGTCCTGAATTCAACTGAACTGAATTGAGCTTAAAGGAGAACTATGAGTCTAGCCGACCTGTGACAATGAGACTGTCACAGGTCGGGTCAGTAGATCGGGAAGTGAGCGAACACATACCGGCGTTCGCTCACCTCTCGATCCTGTCACAGCTCTCTGCCGTGACAGGGGAGGGGCTGGATTCCCCCCTCCCCGCTCCGATCCGCCAGCGCGGACTGGTGGAACGGACAGGTAGAGCCAGCTGTCAGTCACGCAGCTGGGCGGATCCAGACATAATTGTCGGGACCTGCTTCAGCTGCGGTGTCTTAGTATACCGCACATCTACAGCTCGCGGTATACTGAGCCTAGGGTGACGGAAGGATGCTAGTTTGTGTCCTCCCGTTACCCTAAAGGAGAACTATGGGGAAAAGCCCTGACCCCATAGTTCTCCTTTTAATTCAGTTTAATTCTCATTTCTTGAGAGCTCTTAACAGAGAGTGATAGCAGACCATGTGACTGCTCAGGGGTCCTACAATGTCTAGCCAAACAGTTATCTACGCAGGCAACAAAAACATCTGGCAAATGCCTTTGAATAAAATGACTGTATATTTAGTTCTGGAACCTCTTCACAATCGCTGATAGCAATGAATAGAGAGGCAAGGGGTCCCCTTAGTGGTTTTGCTATGGAGCTCCATCACACATGGTGTCCTGAACATTCCATAAAGAAAAATTAAGGAAGTGTTACCTGTTCATTGAATTTTACACAGGGTTGGTCTAATTTGATATGTCCTTCCTATCATTCACAGGAGGAGGACATACCAAGGTTCTCCGACAGCTTAGAGCTGGAACAGCTGCAAGACGAGGTGTCGGAATTGAGGCAAGAGGTCCGGCGTCTGAAGGTGAATCTCAGGGGAGGAGGGTCATTGGTACAGAGCACCTGTAGTTATTGCTGTAAGACAATAGATCGGGAATAACTAGCCCACTCTAGCCAGGTTTTATGGTTAGCTGTGTCCTTGATGGGGAGATTTACCTTTCCCAGAGACACAAAAAGCAAGGAAGTTTTCTCAACAGGGACACACACAGCAACAAAACTTTGCAACAATATATAGACAATTGTTCATCATATCAGCGAGTAGAATTGTTTTTTATACCCTATAATTTACATTTGTTTGAATTTCCAGGCGCTGCTAGTAGAAGTAGAAACCAGTAAGAAAGTGACAGAAGAAGAACTCCAAAGAATGAACCAGGTGAGCACAAACTTCCGAAGCTCCAAAATCCAACACAAGCCAAAACCTAATATTGGACAAAGTGTGGAATTTGCTTCTTCATTGTTCTCGTTGGGAAGATTTCCCCAAATTTGAACTCTTTTGCGTTCCAGTTTAACTGGAGTTATGGTTTTATAGGAAAGCCTCAGGAAACAGGCTGACATCTTACTATGCCATTGTGGACATTTTATAGAAAGTCCTGGGACTCCTATCCGAGAACCGCTGTCTTCACAACAAGCTTGAGGTGGCCGACGCGGCCCAGCAACAGGCGCACAGTGCTGAACACGACTATGAGGAGGTCATCCATCTTCTGGAGACCGAAATTACAGAGCTTAAGACACAGTTGTCTGGGAAAAAGTTGATGACTTTGGAAGTCAGTGAGGTAAGAGAATACTGATATATCCTCAGGTCAGTGGCGTAACAACCGGGGGGGCTAAATGCCAAAAGTGCCATTTTCCTGCCGTTTTGTCGGCGCAGCCGTGATTTCTTTCCTCCCCGCTGGGCGCTGCTCTGTGTCCCAGCGGGGAGGAGAGAAAGTGACAGCCAGCCGAGCGCTGCAGGAGGAGACCGCCGTGATCAGCCGGTGTCTCTCCTCTCACACCGCTCAGCCGCCTATCACATTCCGGCAGAGCGGGGTGGGGGTGGAGACAGCCCACGCTGTCACAGGAGGCTGGGCTCTCCTCCGTGCACTGCTCGCTCAGCCTCCTGTGACAGCGTGTCAGAGAGGAGAGCAAGGTGCAAACATTCAGTGATCAGTGATCGCTGAGTGTTTGTAGATAAATGAGGATATGGTATGGTTACTGTATCCTCAATTATGAATGAATGGGAAGTGATCTACATCACATCTACATCACCTCCTGTTCATTCATCATTGTAGTTATAGTAAACATACTATATTCTCAATGAACAGGAACACTCATAGAGGATTCCTATTCATTCATAACAGGGGACACAGAAAAAGAGATTGAGGACTCTGTGTGTCTCTGAGGACTCTGTGTTCTCAATCTCTTTTTCTATTTTAAAAGGGAAATATCAGGGGTCTGTTTAGATCCCCAATATTTCCCGAAGCCCCTAAAAGTAAAGCAAAAAATAAAAATATTTATGAAAAAAAAAAAGTTTATAACAAAATAAAAATTAAATATTTTTTAAAAATGTGAAAAAATTAAAATAAAAACATGTGGGGGGTGGGGGGGTACAGTTCCAGTGGATTTTTATATAATGGGGGAGGAGGGGCAAAAAAAATGTCTGCCCCGGGCGCCCATAACTCTGGTTACGCCACTGCCTCAGGTACAAATATTCATTTGGAATATCAATAGGCTTTCTCAAGTATTTCATAAAATCAAACATACCTGGTTCATTTTTTTTAATTGAGTGCAAAACTTTGCAAGTTGCGATACATTTGCTGATCACAATAGATGCAAAGGATGCTAAAAACCACATTGCAATGAGTTACTGACCACCCGTAAGTGTTTTTTTTTGGTCTTTGGGGATGGTCTTTCCGATAAAATTGAGCCGATAAAAGTTGACTTCTTTGTCCCTTGGACAACATAAGCCTGATGTGTACAAAACTTCATCCAATCCTCACATTACAAAGATAACTTGCGATCAGTTCAAGTAGTGATGGAAAAAAAAAAGTATTTATATGTGTAATGATTACACCTATATAAATCATTTTTTTTCATCACTACTTGAACTGATCGCAAGTTATCTTTGTCCTGTGAGGATCGGATGAAGTTTTATACTTTATATTTTTTATATGGACTTTAGTTATTTAATATTTATTCTTGATTATATTCACATTGATTGTTGATTTATGCTGATTGATTTGCATATCTTTGAATATTAATGAATCACACATTATTTCACATTGTTCAATATTTTTGGCACCACACTTACTGTATTTTATGTGTACGTTTGATATATGGTGGTATACACACATAGGTGTGTTTTGGGTTGTTTTATTTTCTATTTGGAGATTTAGGGGTTATATTCAATTGTTTCACAATAAGGTCAGATAGCGCAATGTATTGGTTTAACACTGTCTTGGCCCCATTGCTTTTGGCTTTGACGGTCTTTCGCTGCAGCTGTCAGTTATTTATAATTGGAAGGGGGGACATCCACAAACACGAACATTAACATTTAAAAACCTAAGCCAGATGACTTGAGCATTCTGTCCTATACAATTTACCAAAATATTATCACTTTTTTTACCCTACTACAGAGTCTTTTGGTAAATATTTTAATCAGCTCTTTTGTATTCTCTACTGAAGATGTTATTGTATAGAGAAATCAGTATTGTATCCCATGCCAACAGACAAAAGATAACTATGAAGGTAGAGAGGCATGATGAAAAGAAGCTATAAAGGCTTTAGGTGATTATTAAAACTGTGTCCCGTTTTTAGGGTTTGGATTTAAACAGACGGTTATCATTGTCAGACTGTCAGTTACGTAAATCTGAAATCTCCCGCAAACACCTGGAGGTGTCCAATAAGAAACTACTCAGCTTTGTACAGGTAAGTTAGTTACCTGCCATCAGGACTCATTTCACCTTCCACCGAACATATGTCACTCGATGTTGCTCCTTCTAATGACCTTGTCAGTGCCATGTTCATCTTCCATTGTCTATCTTTATATAGATACATATTCAATCTACTCTCAACCATTTTCAGATCACTGCACTTTCCCAATCATTCCAGGTTAAAGTCTCCAACCAGTCTACCTCACTCTACCTATTCTTCCTTCTCCCAACTGGTCTAACTCACCACATCTCTGTCTTCTTCCAACCTGTCCAACTCACTGCACCGAATTTCTCCTAAGCAGTCTATATCACTGTACTTTTGTGTCTTCCTAATGGACCTCTTCTGTATACCAGTCCACCTCACACAATTTCTGTCTTCTCCCAACCGTTCTACATTACTGAGATAGTGTGGTGATGTAGATTGGTTTTCTAATGGGTCTACATCACTGTACCTCTTCTCCATACCAGTCCTCCTCACCACAATTCTGTCTTCTCCCAACCGTTCTACATTACTGAGATGGTGCGGTGATTGGTTTTCTAATGGGTCTACATCACTGCCCCACTTCTCCATATCGGTCCACCTCACATGTCTGTCCAAACCAGTCTACATCTACACACCTTTGTTTTCAAGCAGAGGGTCTACATCTTCTTCTCCCAATCAGCCAACCTCACTGCATGTCTGTCTTCTCCCAAACTGGTCTACCGCACTGCACCTTCTCCCAGCCACGTATATATGTCATTGCACCTTTTTTACATCACAGCCCCTTTCTTCTCTCCTACCATGCCGCATCTCTGTAATTTTCATCTTGTGTTGAATGTTCTACATCTTCATCCTTCATTTTTCTCCATATATGTCTTCTGCCATATACCTCCATTTTGTCACTGTACTCACATTTTTCCATTGGTCAAAGCCGTCTATAATCCTTGATCTCAACATCTAATATGCTCCTATAATAGGGATCTTCTTGCTTCCAAAAAAAGAGTGTTAGCCTGTAGGAACTGTTTATTTATGACTTTTTCAAGGTGATTTTTGTGCATTTACACAAACATTTTCTTTTTTTGAAGAAAATTCAGAAGCATTTAATGTCAGTCCACCTAAATGAGGAGAAAAGGTATGGCTCGTGTTTCCTATATCATTATCACTTTGTGTGTCGCTCTTGCAATGTTTTTGTATGGTGTAGAGGTGATGATACCTGACCTGATCCTGGCCTGATTCAAACATGAAATGCAAACATTGGGCAAGGTAGAGATTCTTTAGTTTGTTCAATATCAAAAGATGCTGTTATCACACACATATTCCAACATGGTGAAAAATATCTGTACAATTGACCACTGATTGGAAGAGTTATCACTGTGCTTGTGCCGTATTTATTCAGGTGGATCCATGACCTGGCGTAGCTGCAGTGGGTTCCACCATAAATAAACACTTACCCATCGTTATTTTGGGCTATAAATCATGACGTTTATCATCTCTCAGAGATCTCCCACCTTCATATGAACCCAATCCACCGGATTAAATTAAATTCACTTTGACTTCCTCTAAAAAAAAACTTTGTAACGACTTTCCGTGTGGTTGGTGTTATTATATATGTGATTATGTATTATGTTGTAGGAAAGTCATAAGATGACCAAACCCTATACAATCTGATTGTGCTATTCACTTTAAATCTACCAACTCTGGTACAATTGCTGGGGTTACTATAAGTAGCCTCATATTGTGTAAATTTTATGCAGTGAAAAAAAAAAAAGGCCGAGCCCCTCAGGGGTATGGCTGGGAAAACAGAATAAAGTTTGTTTAAAAAAAAAAAAATCTACCAACAACTGTGTAATGTTTGAGCCTGCGCAATTGGCTTCAGATTGAATGGCGTGTATCGGTTTGTCATCATATGACATAAGGGTCTATTCACAAAAGGGTGAAGGGTTTGGAGAAGGCAGGAGAAGTGAACAATCTAGGACAACATAGACAATATGGAAAAATTCTCCAATTCAGCTCACTTTCCAGTTCAGCTATGTTGTCCTAGATTGTTCACTTCTCCGGCCTTCTCCAAACTCTTCATCCCTTTTATGAATAGACCTGATAGTTTTGGTTAATTGAAGAAGGGGTTCGTACAATTGGATTTCAGTGTATACGGCCCCCCCTATAAGCTCCTCTGTCTTGTAGAACCGAAGACCTGGAGACCAGCTATGATGGCAATGCTCTGAATGCCTGCTTGCCCTCTGCACAGTTACTGGTTACAGAAGTCAGCAATATCCTAGAATCCTGTAACGGTAAGCTACATCTGTGTGCACTATTTCCTGTACATATTCCACTTTAAAACTGACAAAGCAATAATGTAGCCACACATTTCTTTCTTAGCTTGATTCGTTTTAGAGGATATCTAAACCCAAGAACAAGGATTTATTATATTGCGGCTTACCAGTCTTTAGATGTGGCGGCTGTATTTGTTTTCTTTTTTTAGGCTAAGAGCATTTTTCAGCAAGTACAGAAATTATCTGCTGATCCTGCCAGAAATGCCGTGTCCTTGTCACTTCCTGTTGAATTAACTGAAAGCAGAAATAGTCTTATTTTCCTTCCAAGCTATCTTCTGTAAACTACAGATTCCCCCAACCTCCATGTGAAGGAGGTGAAGAGAGGAGGATGTGTTCGTGGTCCAAATTAGGAGAGCAGCCTGGGGTGACAACCATGGCTCACGATATTGATACAGTATGGTGATTGAGCGTTGTCACCCCAGGACAGCTTAGACATCCTGTTTCTTATTGCCATTTCCTCCTCTCTCCACTCTTCTCCATAGCCATATAGATCAAAGCTGAACTCCGGGCACAAATAAGTATATTCCTCAATAGCCAATAAAAGGATATATATATATATATACAAATGCAGATATTGTAGGGGTAGGCAACCTCGGCACTCCAGCTGCACTGAAATTACAAGCCTCCTCATGCTTCTACCTCCGGGAGTCATGCCTGTGGCTGTCAGTCTTGCAGTGCCTCATGGGCAGTGGTGTAACAATCACCATAGCTACCCAGGCGGCCGCTATGGGGCCTGGCCAGATGCCGTGCGGGCCGCCTGGGTCGCTATGACATCCTCTGCTGCTGGCTGTCACTGGCGGCTCTAAAGAAGAATGCGCTGCTGTTAAGATCACTGACAGTAATCTGTGCAGCAGCGCGTTCCCTTCCACAGAGTCAATGAGAGCCAGCAGCGGCGGTAGAGCAGGCGGGACCCGGCAGTGGAGGATGGGCCCGTGGTCAGCAACAGGGGAGGAGGCGGGGCCCGATGACCGAGGAGGCGGGCCCAGCGACAGAGCCCATCAGCGACGGTGGAGGGGAAGGAGGCGGACAGGTAAGGAGTGCGACCAGCCCATCTGAGGGTGACCCTGCAGAGCCCACTAGAGAGAATCTATGGTGGGCTCTGCAGGGTCACCCTCAGGTGGGCTGTGTGGGATCTCAAGTGGGCTCTGCAAGGGGTATAACTGGAAAGCACGGGGGCCCATAACAAATTTTGCTATGGGGCCTTGTGATTTCTAGTTACGCCCCTGCTCATGGGACTTGTAGTTCCTCAAGAACTAGCATGCGGAGGTTGCCTACCCTTGTCTTATTACATGACGTGATTAGATCTGTGGTTCCTGGTTCAGACATGTTCGGCACTAACATACAGTCAAAGGTCAAATAGTAGAGATTAATAATAATAATTAGCAGCAGACAGGAGATGCAACAGTTTCAGATAAGTGTGCTTCTGTCTCTTTAAATAATAATAATAATGAGATATTGTCATTTCAGCCTGCCCACTTTCATGTGCTGACCCCCAAAAGAACAGACGCCGGTCAGATCAATCAGGGTGAGTCAAATTTTAGGAAACGCAGGGAACCTTTGCAATGCTCAAAATCTAACCCAGAGATAAAGTATATTTAACCCCTTCGTGACTGACGACGTACAGTGTACGTCGCCAGCATCGGAACCTCTATAAGTTGTTGTTTTTTTCTATCTGTGTCCCATTGGGGAGACTTTCCAGTACTTCCTCTCCCATAGACACAATGGGAAGTGAGAGGAAATATCCACATTATGGCCACTAGATGGAGCTGAAGAGCTTATGAAATACTGATTTCCAATGCTCCTCAACTCCATCTAGTGGTCATAAAGTAGTATTACCTTACATTACATTCGAGCTGAAGAGAAAATACACAAAGATTCTCAGGGCGAATGGCTCTGCACATTACTCATAAATAGACCCCTTTAAGTAAGAGGAGCCATAACCACTAAAAGGCTTTCACGGTACCCTGTATTTTTTTCCCCCTCAGAGCCTCCAGCCGGACCTCTCCGCCATCTCAGGTCAGAAGCACGCGGACGCAAAGCCTTAACTGCGGCGCGGAAGTATTATACTCAGCCAAAGACTCAAAGGACAAGCCGAAATAGGTCAAAATGGCCTCTCGCTCTGCTGGTGGATTTGGACTCAAAAGAGACTCTTCAATCGAGCCCGAGTACAATTAATGAGAGCAGCAATGTTACACCAGCCATCCTAAAACAGCATTTCCCAAAGAACGTTGTTGTGGTTTCATGTCAAGAACGGAGAACTAATGAACGTGCCAAATTTTTCACAACCCCGACTATGGCACACGCAGCTGAAGCATGGCCGCTTTTCATTGGCCCAGGTTACCGGACCGTGAATTAAGAGAGACAGAGACTCTAACACCTAGACTTTGACTCCTCATACCGCTTTACCTGTTCTTGTTACCTAACCACAAGACAAATCTTCATCATGTCAGCTGAATTGTACATTTCTCATTAATATTCGTCTCCATTAGCAATAGAGAGGTCACAGGTCAGAGGTCACTGCCCAGCATATGTGATCAAAGTCATTTTGGAAATCCAGACTTGTCTCAAGCTGAATTATTGTCCAATACCAAAACCTGAAGCTGAAACATGTTTTTTTTTTATTATTATTTAATGTTGAAATAAAAACAATAATTCTAAGTACGCTGTTGTGACGCTTTGAAGATGCCGCTGCATGTAGGCCTGTGATCATAGTAATAGTGTACTTTATATGAACAACATGAGCAAGTCATCAGCAGACATCCCAACTCTCCTGGACGCTCCACGAGTCTCCCGCTATCAGTTAGCGGCTCCCGGCCGCCCGGGAGAGAAACACTTTCTCCTGGAAAGGTTTACTCTGCTCCATCGTGCAGAGTAAACCTTTCCCTGCAATCGTTTTTTTTTTTCTGACATCGGGGGCCGCCGGCTGCCGTAACTCCGAAAAACAAAACAACACCATAGGAATGCATAGCTAGATTCCTATTGGCTATTTCACTTTGCAATAGCAAACTAGCTATTGCACCCGCCCACTGCTGCTGTCAATCAGCAGAGGGGGACTTGAAGTTCTCCATCAGGTCCCCTTCTAGTGATTGAAGGCAGCAGAGGGCGGGTGCTCTCTCGCCCTTCCCCCGCGGATTAGGGGGGGGGGGCAGAGGGCACCTCCCTGAAATGAGAAGGGGACCTCCCGTAAATTGGTTCTTTCAGGTTGGAATCCCTGCATCAGTTGCGGCCTACAGAACGTTATCTAACCAATGCTGTGTTGGGAATTCAAGATGGCTGCCACTTCTGTGCTGGGGACAGGTACTCACAAGCCTTACAGCCTTGAAAAGTTTATCAGAGGAACATTGTACCATGCCATGGTGACTTATCTAATTCTGACTTCACAAAGGGTGTTCTCATTAGGGATTAGACATGTGCACCGGCAAAACATTTTTTCATTTTGATTCGGTTTTTGCGTTATTTCGTTTTTAGGGTCCAAAATTCAATTAGTTTCGGAATTCGGATTTGGAAGAAATTCGTTATCGGTAGTCTGTATGAAATTGTGTTTCGTTTTCGTTCGTTGCCGCAAAGTGACATCTCAAATGTCATTTTGCTGCAACGAAATTTCGTCCAACAAACTAAATTTCATACAGACTACCGCTAACCAATTTCGGAATCAGAAATTCGGATTCGTTTGCATTCGTTATATCTGTAATTTGGATACAACCCGAAATTTCGTCCGAATTTCAATACTGAACGAAAGGAATCGCACGTCTATTAGGGATGCACCGATACCAAGTACCGTGCTCGGTACAAGTACAGATACTTTTCCAGCTCCAGGACTATAGAGAAAAATTCAATAGTTAGGAGACAGCTGTCATTTGTAAGGAGCACACGGAGCTCCTGGGATTTGTACATCTCTGTTTTAATGTATGATTCTGTTTTTATAAATATAAATAAAGGGATGCACCGATACCATTTTTACAAGTACAAGTACTGATACTTGCCCAAGTCCTCACAGATGCAAGTACTGATACATTTTTGTTTATTTTTCATGTGACAGTTTTTCTAAAACAATACAGACTAATGATTTCAGGACAGTGGTGGAGCGCCAGAGCTATATCCCAGCTGCAACCTCTGCAACCCTGGTAGTTCTCATGAAAATGCCAAGTATCGGCACTGTTATCTGAACTGGTATCTGAACATCCCTAGTTATCATAGAATATCATAGATATTTGTATGTCTAACTCAATATTTGAGTACTCCAAGTTTTGCGGGGTTGGCTGTTAAGGTTCACAAGAATAAGCATGGTCCATAAGCACAGTAAAACTCATTCATGAAAGCACAACTGTCTGGGCTGCTCCCAACAACCATTATGATTAATCCTTTCATATTTTTTCAGCTGACAGCAAAATAAAAGGAAGAAGTTGGTTCGTGGGAGCAACAAAGTCAGTTTTACTAGCACATCAGATCTGCATGGTGCTGCAATGGGAACTACAGTCAAGCCCTTGTGTGTGGCCTTACACCAGTACCCATAGCAGCTCCACAGCATTGAGAGATGTATTGACAGCAGTCATTCTAAGAGTGAAGAGCCAATACATCAAAAAATAGTGTACAATTAACTAATGACATGAGCAAGTCATGGGCTACCTTCTACTAAATGATGAATAATGACAAATGTTGTGTTGTGAATACAAAGTGGCTGTCACTAATGTATTAGTGACAAGTACTCACAAGCCTCATGTCCTGTTATCAGAAGAAGAAATAACCAAGCCTTGGTGACTTACTCAATTCCCAAAGGGTTTTATCATGGAAGATTTCTAAAAAAAAACGGAAACACCCGGACGTCAATATTTGAGCATTCCAAAGCTATTGAGGCCTCTTAGGATAGTTTATAGAATAAGCACAGTAAAACTCATTAAATGAGAGCAGGACTGCCTGGACTGCTCTTAACAGCCATTATAAACATCCCTTTCATAATTTTCCAGTTGACTTTTAAATAAAAAGAAAAAGATGGTTTGTGAGAGCAACAAAGTCACTGTTACTGGGACATCAGAACTGCATGGTGCTGTAACGGGAACTCATTTTAGCCCTTGGGTGTGCCCTTACACCAGTACCCATAGCAGCTCCACCACTGCTTGTCAGCAAAACGATATGGGATAAAAAGCTACAAATGAAAAAAAAAAATCAGATCTTCAAGAAAGCTTAATTTCCTTAAGAAAAATTGGCCTGAGGTCACTCTGAAAAAAAAGTCTGTGTAAATAAGTTAAATAGATAAAAGGCATAATATTAGAAAACAGCCAAAAAGTGCTGGCAGTGTAGGGTGGCTAGTCCAGAAAACCTACACATCAGATCTAAGGCCATCCTACAAACCAAGGTGTCGTAGTTATAGTGAAAATCTGTCCATCAATGTCATATTAGGTTCATCCACCACACACTGCTCGGATAAAGTCCTACCGAGACTTGGTTAGTGATGGTAGCTGCATAATAAATTAGTACCAAACTCGTGAGGTAAGTTGTCCTTCTGTAGATTCTTGATATTTGGTTTCGATGGATATTACAATCATGATTCGTTTGATGACTTTGGAAGATTTACTTACTCCACAATGCAAGGAGGTTTCTTTTTCGGTTGTGTGCTTTTTAGCTGGCTCTTTGGAGCTGGTGGTGCCAGATTTTGCCATGGCACATTCGAGGACTAGGTGATGACACCCATGTCCTCTGTAAAAATAAATAAGGCCAGTTGCTGGCATAGGGTCAGAAAGTCAAAGGGGGGCAAAGCCCCCGGGGTCCTCTGTTATCTGGAGATCATAGAGCCACTGTGAGACTTGTTCGAAGAGTTGGTGACCCCGCTTAGCTGAGAGAAGCCACTGCAAGATTCTAGGCTGGACATTGACCCCCTGAAAGCAAAGAATAAGACAGAAGAGCACACAATTTAGGATAACTGAATGCCTCCATGACAGATTTATCCAGCTAGATGATGACACCTGATAAGCTTGCATGTGTTGTGAGCATCAAAGAGGACATGTCATTTTTGGAGCAAATGTAAGGTAGGAAAGGGGTAGGTTACTACTCCATGTTAGCTGGTGTCTGATGATTGGCCCAGTACTATAACATGCTGCTGAGCAGAGGAGCATTAAAGTTAAATTGTGATTTTGGTCTGCTTGGGCAAAGAACAGGTTCATGTGACGCTATCCAATACAGGGAACCTGTCGGGATAGCAATGTGGGAATCCTTCATGCAGAACAAGCATGGAGCCAAGGATGTTGTGACAGTTCCTTACTAACTAGTCAATAGGTTATATACAAGTAAGTATGCTGACTTCACTCTAAATTCACTAGTCATATGCTTGTTCAGGGTCAGTGCCAAGTATTCAACTAAGAGACAGCCAGGAAACCAGCAATTTCGGAAGGCAGTCAGCAATGTCAGGCTCCATATGTATCTCAGTATAGGTTTCTTTCAAACCTCACACATGCAAAAAATTACGACGATCTTGGTGTCTGTTTGCCTCTGACCTCTGGTACTAAGTGACAGGTCAGGACAACTGCATATTCCCTCACTCAAAGAATTTAGAAAGGTAACCAATTTTAATGCCTATCACATGAGTTCCATTAATACCCTTCTCTTTTTCTTCTCGTTTGCACACGGGTGTGAAGAGAGGAAACTGTGCAAGCTTAAAATAAAGACTTTGAGCTTACACAGGGCTTAGGACTCTCTCCCCCTAAATGGGTGCTTGAGCGGCCAATCACCAAGCACCAGAACTGGAAGTACCAGGATCTCTTCTATCCTGGCAGCTAAACAGTGGATCGGGGAGTGAAGGTAAGGAAAGTATGTTCTACAGGTAGGGCTGTTATTAACGTGGACATGATGCCTGTTTTCTGCATAGGTAAAGCCTAGGTTTGCTTCAAGTTGTCCTCCTACTTGGGCCCCGCTATCCTTTAAAAAGGAATACCACCTTACCTGAAATCCTCTGATGCCAGAACCTCGAAGTAATACAAGACTTTACACTTGTGACTGGATCCCTGAAGTGAGGCCAAAACATCATCTACTCGGGCAATGCTGGTGCCAGTCGATGAGCTGTGCATCTTCCACTGCAGGATGTAAAACCCGGGCCAGCGAGTCACATGAGAGCCCTGGGAAGATAAGGGGGTTATGGGTATTCTTGGTTAGTGGCAGCAGAAATAGATCTAAAGGTTCAAGACTCTCAGTGACTCATATGAGTATGGAGTTGGAAATGGGTCAGAAAAGCTCGGCTTTAGGTTAGGAAATACAAAAATGACTTAAAGGTGATCTGGTAATCTGAATAAATATATCTAAACGCCTTATAAAGATTCAATAGATTTTACAAACATTTTTATTCCGTGGACAGTGCAACAGGCAAGC